CCCACCATATTGTCCCTTAGTTATTTCTTGTTGTTTGAATCATAATATTTTCATATGCTTTCTCACCTCCTAGGGCAGCCTCAAATTGCATTTCGAATCACATATACCTACTTCTTTTATTGAAAAACTATGTTCCTTTGCATGTTGCGTTGGTGCTTCAATTGTCCTTGTTGTATATTTCCAAAGTTGTTTCCAATTCTTAATAACTTAATTCCATGTTTCAGCATACACAGGTAAACCCCATGAAGCATAATAATGTTATCCCCAATGGTCACTTTAAGAAGCATTGGCAAAACCATGTAAGGACTTTACGGAGCCATGCTCTTATGGACTTACTTGCCTCATTGACGCACTTCCATGTCCCGTGACTCCGATGATGCCCGCCATCTCCTTAACTGGCGGAAAGACGTCCCCAAAACTGGCTCAAATGTCAAAAACTTCTCTCTTGTTGCCGCTGAGGTAAATTCGTCTTCATCATTGGAGTTCTCTGACGATGTAGGAATAGAAAAATAGCTATTTGGGGCACTAAATTCAGATTATTGTTCTTGTGGTTGCTTAATTGAAGAAATTATTGAGAAATCCTCCAAATCAATTGAGTGATTGAGCGAGTGCGTAAGAGTATCACCACTTAGTTACAATTTTAGCTATTTCCACAATCCACAGTCTTGCCCTGTCATGTACACTTAATATTCGTCTCTGCTAACAATTGAATCCACATTGTCCCGCCTCTGTTACGTTAGTTATCCATTTCTTAAATTGAAAACTTTTGGGAAAATGCAGAAGTAGCCCCAGCCTATGCCCAAAATCTCTGAGACACACCTAATCTTTACTAAGGTCCTATTACCCCCGAACTTATTTTTTAATTAATTTTCTACCCCTTTTCAGCCTACGTGGCACTATCCTTGAAAAAATTGTCAACACGCGCTGTGCCCACAAGATAGTGCCACGTAGGCCGAAAAGGGGTAGAAAATTATATATTAAATAAGTTCGGGGGTAATAGGACCTTAGTAAAGGTTAGGTGTGTGTCAGGGATTTGGTTCTTCTTTTCTTTGTATATTATTTCCTGTTCTGTATGACCGTCCTTAATTTTAAGGAAGAGAAATGGAGAATGGAAATGAGATGTATTTGCTTAAATCATTTAGTCAACTACACAATCAGCCTAATCAAATTGAGATATAAAATAAAAAGAACAATTAGAAGGAATATATGAAAGCAACTATGTTTATTGACATTTTCTCATAGTCGGACTACACTATAAAAATAAATAAGACCCTTTCCTTCTTCCTTTTTTCTTTATGTGATATAATTTTTATTGTAGTTTTTCGCTATCATATTTAAGTATGATTGTCTTTCTTAAGACAGTACTGTTAAATTTGTGCGCTTATACTTTGTAATTGATAGCTAAAGAAACACCCACAATCTTAAAATCCTGAATCCGCATTAGTTATAAAAAACTCACTTCAATCTACCCGCATAATCTTAAATTCGCTCCGCCCTGCATAACCTTAAACCCATCTCACCCCACATCCGCCCCGCCCCATTACCATTGGGACTGTTTCAAACCTGAAATTCAGCCAAATCTAACCTATGTGTCTCAAAGGGAAATACTTAACATATAAACAAAAAAAATGTTTGACAGGAATACCACGAATTATCACATAACACAATTACACTTGAGATGCATGCTTGACTAATGATGATATATATATTCTTAATTCTTTAGTTCTACACATTAATTATATGAGTCAAATTAAATTAGGATTTGACATTTCAATGTATCAGATCGTGACACGTGACAAATAAAATCTAGTCAGATTTAGCTCACCAACAATAATAGTGGTCATGACCTTAAGTCGTACCCAATAAGGCTTCTTCTATCCATTAATGAAGGTACGAAACAACTATACAAATCATCTAGTTTGGGAGCAATGAGATTGGAAATAAAGTTTATCAATAGTCGATCTAGATAAACTTCATCTATAAAAAAAAATTCCGGATAATTCAAGATTCTCTCAAGTAGTCATTCAACCACGCATTTGATGAATTAAACGTATATATAATATGCTTATTATGAGAGGCTGAAAAATACACACAAGACATTACTTAGGGTACGTTAGACTATAAGTACACTCATTCCCCTCACTTGTAATATAATTCATCTGATTCTCATCACAATAACTATATTAAGCTCTAACTAAAGCTCGAAAGCTCTCAATTTGTCATTTTCTAGTAATATCTTCTTGTCTTATTTCATTACTTTACAATATATTGTTTTTACGATCACCTTGATCATTCACTTTAGCAAGTTATACAAAATCAAGATTAATATAGCATTTGTTCATAATAATTCACGTGCGATTCAATTCTTATTATAAACCACTGATCCAGGGGTACACACTAATATTATGGCATGCACCGTGTGTTGAACACTTATGTAAATTTAGGGTGTGTTTAGTACGGAGGAAAATGTTTTCTTGGAAAATAAGTTGGTTTCTGACTTATTTTCTCATGTTAGGTTGGTGAGTGAAAAATATTTTTCAAAAAATACTTTCTTGTGCATGATTGGTAAATGAAAATATTTTTTAGAAAATATCTTTTATTTTTGGCTAAAGAGTAGAAAAGACTTTTTAAGAAAATAGTTTATGACCTGAAACCAACCCCGATAATCGATCTGACACCCAAACCCGATACCCGATCAGGGACCTGACCCCTACTCATGACACGAGACCTAACATTCAAACTGAAACCCGACCCTGACCCGAATCGAAACACGATCCAAAGACCCAACTCAGGACCTAGCCCCGACTCCCCATCCCAGACCCGACATTTGAACTGGAATATAACTCAACCTCGACCCGAGACCCGACTCCGACTGTCGGCCCCAAAAACTGACTCATGATCAAACTTTTGAATCGGAATCCGACCCGGAGACCCGACCCTAACCTCGACCCTAACAACCGACCAAGACTATATATGACCTGAGACCCGACCTTGACCCCGACGCTTGAGACACGATACCCAACCCTAGGATTCAACTTTTGAATCAGGATCCGACCCCGAGACCCGACCCTGACCCTGACACCCTACCCGAGATCCAAGACACGACGCCAACCTCGACCCGTGACATCGAGCTTGACCCCGACCTAACTATGAACACTACCCGAGACTCGAGACCTGAGACCTAGACTTGAGACTCGAATCCTATCCTGATTAGAGACCCGACCCCGACCCAAACCATAGAACCGACATTGACACCCGAGTCAAGACCTAACCCCGACCCCAACCTAAGTCCCGAGACCCCGACCAATGACCCGAGACGCCAACTCAAAACTCAAGACTTGAGACCCAAAACCCCGACTCGAGACTCAAGACTTGAGACCCTGACTCGATACCCGATTCTGATCCAGACATCGACACTCAACTTCTGATTTCTGAACCCTAATTCGACATTAACACCCAAATTGAGACCATACACCGAAATCGAGACTCGATTTTGAATCAAGACCTGATTTGGAATCGGAACTTGACCCAGACTCGGGACCCAACCTTTGAACGGGAGTCGACTTCGACATCCCACCCCAACGATCGATTCGGGACCCAAACCTAACACTTGACATGAGGCTCGACCTCAACACTCAATCTAATACCCGACTCTAACACCCAACTCGAAACCTCAACCCAACATATGATTCGGGACTTAACCCAAAGTTCGACCTTTAGTCCTCACTGGAGATCTAACCCGACTCAATCTGGAACACGGGAGTTGGGTCTCGAATAGAGCTCGAGAGTCAAGTCTCAAATCAAGAATCAGTAGTCAGATATTTCTAGATTAGTATCAAAAATCAATACCCTAGACTAAGTTACATTGGAAAGTTGTGGTGTGAGGTTAAAAATGATTTTGGAAAATGTTTTCCTTACTTTTGTAAGGGAAGTCATTTTCCTTAAATTTGAAAAAAATAAGTTGATTTGGAAAACATTCCAAAACATTTAAGTCAACCAAACATGAGAAAATTAGAAAACATTTTCCTTCCTACCAAACACACCCTTAGAAATGGACGATAAAGGTAGACTTTCATTGACTGAAATTTCATGTGAAAAACACCAACTACAAACTACATAAATTAATAGCTATTCAAAGGTGACCAAACTTTAAGATCAACCAGGAAAAAAACACTCTTGGAATAAATACATCCTTATTATCATGAAGGAGAAACATAGTTGAATCAAAGCAATTGTTGTTCTAAGAACTCATAGGGCTATCTCGATTATTTAGAGAAGCTATAGCAGTTTCAATCCTCAACTTCAAAAGATTGCTCTCTTCCTCATCAGCCTGGAAAAGAGAAATTAAAACAAAGTGACAGTAGATATTAGGTATTATATTTAACTAATACTCCTTCTTCTGTCCCAATTTATATGAGTCACTTTCCGTGTTAGGCCATCCAAAAAAGAATTGATACATTTTTATATTTAATAACAAATTAACTTTAAAATATTCATTTTATCTTTAATAAAATAAGTAATTTATAATCATATAAATATCTATCACTTATTTTAAACCACAAATTTTAAAAAAAAATCCTTTCTTTCTTAAATTCCGTGTTAAGTCAAACTAGCTCAATAAAATGAGACGGGAGGGAGTATAAATTATTGAACTTTTCACATAGTAAGAAATTATCATTTTACAAGTAACACTTCAGAACTTTAGGAATCCATCTAATTTATAATTAACCAAAGAGCTTAATCTTTTCAGAATAGATCTTATATATATATATGCCTTTGTTTTATTTTCTCTATATAGTGTTTCTTCCTTTTATTTCATAACTCTCTAGTTCTAACTTTCCACATGATTTGTTTGATATTACAAGATAAAACGTCATTTTTCGTATATTCTACTTACTTTAAATTAAGAATACAAAATTCAGAAGTTTTCTTTAATTTTTAAAAATTTGTGTCAAGTTAAAACCAAACAATCAAATTTAAACTGAGAAAGTATATGATTAGACTTCAAATATTTCTTTTAAGAAAATAAGTGAATTTCACATTTATTTATTTTTGTTAGGTATGTAAGCAAAATATATTTATTTAAACAATTTATTATTAAATTAGAAAACAAAAATTGTTAGTGGAAAAAACAATGGAAGTAAAAAGAAACAAAAAAAGAGGGTGAGAAAAAGATTGTGTTACCTCAATGAAAGCTGTGTGGAGAAGTGTCCCAGAGGAAGCAAAGATAGTTGCAGAAATTATTTTGATATTCAAAGATTCAAAAACATCACAAAGTTTTACCATTGTGTCTCTTCTTTTGATGCAAGTGAGGTTCACCACCACTGTCTTATCTCTCATTGAAGATATCCTCAACTACAATTTCAAAAGGAAAAAAAGAAGATAAGTAACTTTATCTTATGGAATATCTTTCATTATAATAAAAACCTAATACATAAAAATGTTCTTTAACTAACTTTTAATTTTTGGTGTGTATAACTTGATATTTAAATATGTATATAATTGAACAAGTAGACACATATGTCCTATGAGACATTCTACATGACAATTTGCGGTCCTACCTGACATCCTATATGTATTATGCTACGTAGGACATGAGTATCTATTTGTTCAACTTTATACAAGTTTAAGTGTCTACTTGTGTACATCCAAAGTTGGAAGACACAGATGTCAACTGAGGCTACCTTTAAAGTGCACATTTATATATTGTTTAATTACCTTAAGAACATCAATAGGGGAAGAATGATATCCATACTGCTGCTCATCAAGTGTAGTTGGTCTTTTAGGCTTTGAAAAATCAAAGGTTTCATGTTGAAGATGGGCACTATTCTTGTTTGAGGTTTCGGATTCAAGCTCTGATATCTCTCCTTGAATTCTCCTATCTTGATTTTGCAATTCTTCAATATAGGCAATTGCATCTTTCACTATTGAGGCTTTATCCATCTGGAAAAAAGAAAAACTAAAATGCTTATTCATGATGTATATATATATATTTAATGTAATTATTGTTATGAAATATTAATATGATGTCCATTAATTTTCATTATTAATGCACTAGTATTTGATGAATGTCCATATTAATTAGTTCTAGTAAACTTGGCTTCCAAGTTACTCAAGACTTATAAATAGATACTCCTTCTGTCTCAGTTTATATGACTCACTTTTTATATCAGTCAGTCCAAAAAAAAACGATATATTTGTATATATTAAGTAACAATTTATGTTTCACCTTGGTTATTTTTGGAACATGAGCTCTAAGTGCAAATAACTTTTCTTTGAGTTTGTTCCTCCTAATCCTTTCTGATACAATGTTCTTCGATGATTGTGCCCCTTCTGGCGAGCTTGAATCATAGTATGACGATATAATTGGCTCATCCAAGTAGCTACGAAAAATTATCTTTATTAATTCCACAAGAAGAATACCAAAAATACTAAATGAGAAAGAGCATAAATTAAAGTTTACCTATCTGGTTGAAAGAACATGGTTGTTTCCAAATAATTATTATTCTCTTCAACCATGTTTTCCATCTTCTTTGAAAGGAGATGGACAAGTTGAGAGAAGAAGAAAGGGAAGTAGCTAGGTATATATAGAATCAGAAAACTACTCCCTCTGTCAAATAATAGTTGTTCAGTGTTGACCTTAAACATGAATTAAGAACTTGTAAATGATAAGGGTGAGTTTACTAAATTACGTACCCTTATTAAATATAAGTCATATAAATATTGAGAAATAAATATAATATTTAATAGCAAAGATAAAAAAAGACACAACATGATAAATATTTATTTGTTTTATAAAATAGATAAATATTATTAGACATTTCGAAATAATATACTTAATAAACATGTAATGATAAATAGAGAGAATATAATGTACGAGTAAAAATGAAAGAAGAGAATAATACCATGAAATGACAAATAGTATTTGTCAAAAGGAATCCGAATTCTTTTAACCTACCAAGTTGTGCCTCGTGGAATTTCATCTCTCTCCTAACTTATTTGATACTTCATTTAGTCTAGTTTCAATTGTCATGTTACATTTTTCGAAAGTCAATTTGACTAATTTAGAATTAAATTAGATTACATTAATTCGATGTGTTAAATAAATAAAAAATTGAATATTCAAAAACTATATTAAAAGTACTATAAACTGCATTTTTTTGTATATTAATATAATGAAAAAAATACTTCATAAAATGTTAGTTAAAATTCTTATAATTTGACGCTAAAAAGGAAAATCATGACAATTAAAAATGGACGAGAGGAATAGTAACTATTTTTGTCCTACCCAAAAAATAAATATAGAAAATAACTTTTTATGAATATATATCGGGTCAAATTATTGTGGTCATTTAGCAGCTTTAAAAAAAAAAAATTATTTTATCCTAAGTTATGCGATACTAATATATTTGTTACTCCCTCTGTTTATATTTGAACCTGACATATTAAAAAATAATTGACATTAGGGTGTGTGTATCGGTCGGTTCGGTTCGGTTATAAGTATTATCGGTTCGGTTTTCGGTTTTTAAATATGCTAAACCGATAACCAAATCAATAAGATATTTGTTATCGGTTTTAGGTCTTTAACGGTTCGGTTTTCGGTTTAATCAATAAGAAAATGCTTTCAAAACAAATATATGACTTATCCAATAATTTGACACGATACGCATACATCGAAATAATCATTCCAAACGGGACAACAAGGACCAACTTGTTGTAACACAATTTGAATTCCTGACGTTAATCAAATTGCAGATATTTACAATCGTGCAAAAGCTAATATTAGTCAATTATAAACTAACTAAAGTAAATATGTAATAATAAAAAGTAAAACCTAAAGGTTAAATAACTAAAAGTAGAGAGGAGAGTTAATTGTTAAGTAGTGTTAATTATTGCGTAGGGTTTTATATTTTTAGTCTAATATACTACTATTTATATTAATATTTTTTTTAATATATTATATATATGTATAACTAAAAATTAAAATAGTAAATTATTATATTCTTAATGGGTTATCGGTTAACCCAATAACCCAATATTAAAAACCAATAACGAACCGATAACCCAATAATTTTTTTTTGTAAAACCATTAAATAACCGTTATCCCAATAACCCAATAACAATAAACCAATAACACTTTTTTCGGTTCAGTTTATCGGTCGGTTCGATTTTTGCACACCCCTAATTGACATGATTATTTTACAACACTATCTAATACATATTTTTTTAATCCTACGTTTTGTGATATTAATATATTTGTCTTATGCTCTTTGTTTATATTTGAACCTAATATATCTTTCAATAAAATAATAATTAACATGATTTTTATCACACGATCTCTATTAATTAATATTTAATATTAAATTTAAAAAAAAAAAAAAAAAAAAAAAAAAAAACAAAAACAAAAAAAAAAATTGTTAATATATAAAAATAAAAATTTATTTTTAAAATAGTGAACAGAAAGAGTAGTCCTCCTTATTATAACAAAAATTGCGTGTGGGACTAAAAATCTAAAATAAAGTCAAACCCAATTTAATAATGTTTTGAATTTTTTAACAAAGTTTCAGACTATAGCGTGTGTACACTTTAGCCGCATTTTGTCCCTCCGTCTCGTTTGCATGTTATTTTTTTATTAAAAAGAAAAAATAAAATTTAAAATTTAAAATAATTTGTATAATTATAAATTATTTTATTAAAGATAAAGAAAAAATTTAAAGTTAAATTATTTTTACTTATGGTAAAGTAATTTAATTTTTGGAGGCAAACTAATAAAAAAAGACTGTCACATAAAATAGGACAAGGGAGTATTTATTTTTTATATTGGCATACTTTTCCCTTTACTAAGTATTAAGTAAGATAATAGAAATATAGATTATCACGTCACATATGATTTTAAGGGGTGATGTAATAAATTGTGACGCTACAATTAATTTAAGTTTGAATTTTGACAATGTCAGGTCTGCTTTCTAATTTGTTTACACGTGAAACACCTTTATGAGTGTAACGCGGAGGAGATTATTATAATGGAATAGATCCTAACTTAAATACGCAAAAAATATTTATTATCTTCGTCCATTTCTTTTTTTGGCAATAAAATGTGAATATTACCATACAACCAAAATAACTTAGCAGTCTTTACAATCTAAGAGCATCTAGTGATCTGAATTTCCTTCTAGGAAAATTATTCAGCTTCGAACTAGACCTCCAGCGCACTTACTAAAAAAGACACCAAACAAAACCTATATTAATTACAAATTCTCTGTATCAAAACTTGGCACCTTCTTGCTTTTTGAGATCCTGTGAACATGCTCACCCTTTCTCTGATTTCTTTTTGACTTTGTGTCGTTATAAACCTTGTGTCTACGTTCACACCCCTTCGTCCACTTTTAATTGTTATAGTTTCTTTTTTTAGAGTCAAATTATAATAACTTTGACTAACATTTTATGATTATTTTTTCATCATATAGATATGAAAAAATTGCAATTTATAGTACTTTTCATATAGGTCTTGAATATCTAAATTTTTTGTTTAAAATATCGAATTAATGTAATATAATTTAACTTTGAAAATTAGTCAAATTAACTTTTAAAAAGCGTAACATGACAACTAAAAGGGAATATAAATGAACTTAAACTTTTCCTTTTTACCAACAAAAAGCTTTCTATAAGTGATAACATTTTGAGCAGATATTTTAAAAAGAACACGGTAAGAAGCTTTTCTAGTCTCTCAACATTCTTCATAACCAAATCAAAATGACTTCCAATAATTTTGTTCTTTTTTATAATTTCAATACCTATAATTATTTCATTACAATTTGAATTCATGAAACATAGTAAAATAAAATATGTCCAGGTAGAGATTTGCAAACACTTATAACAAATCAAACTTCTGATGAATACAATAAAAATAAAAATAAAACACAATTAACTAAGTAAAAAAAATTGAATCTAAGATTTTGCGTTTAATTCTCTAAAGAAATCCAAACATTTAAGTATATTTTAACACTAGTAAACTAAGCCGTGCTTCGCGCGGTCATGTAAAATATCAATAAATTAACAAAATGAACTCATTCCTAAGTTTATTCAAGATATAAGAGAGATTTTATATCTCGGCATTTAAATTGATAATAAATTAAATGGATTTTGTGTTTTTTTTACTCCTTAATTATCGTTGTAGCTTGTAATTATGACTATTGTTTAGGATGATTTGTGAGATTGTTGTAGTATTTTGTCATGACTGTATTCATTTTCATTATTTCTCCCTATTTTATTTTGAATTTTTATTTTCTTGAGCGGGTCGGTTAGAAATAGTCTCTCTACCTATAAGATATTGGTAAGGTTTATATTCTACCCTTCATAAACCCACTTTGTGAGATTATACTGAATTTATTGATGTAATTATTGTCACAATTCTTTGTTATATAATATTTTCCCATTTTAATTTATGTAGGAAAAAGCTCCATTATAAAATTGAGAATTATATATAAGTCTATTAAGAAGTCTCACATCGGTAGAGGGATGGGAATTTGGTCTCCTTACAGTAGTAGTTCATGAGTATTTTTCATTTTCATTTGTTGGAATATTGAACTCCAGATTTACCTAAGGAACAAGTATATTATATTTGTTCCTTTTCATATTACAACAGTTACGTTATGCAAAACAAATAAAGTAATGACACAATATTTTATCGCAGAAAACCTCGGCTCGGGTAAAAAATCACGACCTACACCTCTGTAGGATTTAACTCCACTTCACTAAACTCTGAGCCTCAACAAAAGATTACAAACCTTTATGTTGAGACTTGAGTTGCCTCTTTGGCCAGTTGAATGTTTATTTCTAAATATTCGGAGTTTAAGTATTTGAGACTTTTGAGTTAAAACCTTCATTTGAGTTTATCTATTATTGAGTAAGTCTTCAGCTGAGAGTTGAGCCAGGCCAAAGGTACGCTTAGGGCTAGCAATAGTTCTCGAGTGTCGGCCACGTTCAGGGTGTAGGCTCAGGGCCTGATAGTTTTAAAGACTTGAGTTATGATAGAATATGTGCGTCCACTATCAGTCAACGGACCAGGTCCCTTGACTCAGCAAGAACAGTGATGAAGAGTAAACAATGAACAGAAGATAACACAAGCATTTTACAGCCTCTTTGGCCAGTTGAATGTTTATTTCTAAATATTCGGAGTTTAAGTATTTGAGACTTTTGAGTTAAAACCTTCATTTGAGTTTATCTATTATTGAGTAAGTCTTCAGCTGAGAGTTGAGCCAGGCCAAAGGTACGCTTAGGGCTAGCAATAGTTCTCGAGTGTCGGCCACGTTCAGGGTGTAGGCTCAGGGCCTGATAGTTTTAAAGACTTGAGTTATGATAGAATATGTGCGTCCACTATCAGTCAACGGACCAGGTCCCTTGACTCAGCAAGAACAGTGATGAAGAGTAAACAATGAACAGAAGATAACACAAGCATTTTACATGGAAACCTCCTTGCTCAAGGGAGTAAAATCACGACCTGTCACACATGATTTTCAACTATTTTCACTAATCTC